TTTCCTTGATAATTATAATATTTAGTTGAATAATTACTCATCGATGTTTTAGGATACAATTTCATAAAGATCGTCTTTCCTTTAATACTCTTCTTATGAAATAGGTTGTAACCTTGATTTAAAAATAAATACTTACTTAATTTATATCTCTTATTTCTATAATAAATTATTTAGATATTTTTATATGTCCTCATAGACTTAGAACTCTGAATAGTTTTTTAATTAATCCAATTTGGAACTGATTTTGAAGTTACAATCCTAGTGGATTTTTTTTATTTTTTCAATGACAGATATTGGATCCATGACTGATATTTAGCTTTAAATTAGTAAATCTATTTCTTCAAAAAAACTGTATTAAGTTATAGCATCAATTAAGTTATTCACCCAATCCTTAGAGAGCCAAATTAAATAATCTAGTTATTGGATCAATCTTGTTTTTAGAGCATAAATCATTTTCTAAAAGATTTCTACCTATTAAAGGTGAGGCTTGATTATTGGCTCATATTATGAGATCTTTTCTTTTTAAGATGTATCGAAGCATTATTTCAGAGATTGATAATCCATGATCTAGGAATTAGTTAGATTCTATAGAAGACAGGACTTGCATAATAGCCCTTCATTTCTTGATAATTAAGCATCAAGAATAACAAATTCGATTTGTTGTTGGTGTTGTTTGCATATCAAATCTTTTTCATTTTCTATTACTTTTGGTTAAAAAATTTACATTAAATTTAATTATGTAATAAATATATTTAAAATTTTTCTATTTAAGATAACTTTGTAAACAACAAGAATAGGATCTATTATTTGATTAATTATAGTTTAAAAATATAGTTTCCAAGTTTTAGAGTGTGTTAATATGACATATTGTAAGATTAATTCATTCTTAAATTCATATTCAAGATTCTCTTAAGATCTAATTCTTAAATTTTTTTTCCTTTTTTATCTTTCATTTGAATAATAAAAAATGTACACTAATTAATATATCCATTTTTTTGCAATCCGATGAAATAACTCTATATAAGACTATTTGATTTTGAATATGATAGAGAAAGCTTTATATAATTATATCTACATAAATTAAATAAATCTAATTCACAAGGCTCCCTTTTATAAAGATTTAATGAAGGAAAATAAGAAAATGGAAAAAAAGGTTAAAAATTAAGAGAAAAGGTATTATGTATTGTTATGTAAAAAAAAGGAGACTATCATTAGAAATAATCCTAGACAGAGAATTAGCTAGGAAAGGAAATTCTTAAATTCGTAAAATAAAAATAAAAGAATTTTAAAAGAGTAGTATAATATATTAACTCTTTAAAATCATTAGTAGGTGAAATTCAATAAACTTTTTCTACAATTTCTGATGATTTCTTTAAAATTCATCTTTATAATTAAAATATTTTTGAAAAACTTTATTTGTAATTTAACAATGACCAAGGAGATGGAGAAATAAGGTTATTTTTAAGAGAAGAGATTAAAAGTATGATATTTATATGAAGTTCCTATTATAGGATATTAATGATTAATTGTGATTTATTATAATAAATAATGAAAATTATGCTTTTTTCCTATTATTATTATTAGGTATATTTGGTTTAATATCATTATCAGCTTAAGGCGAAAACGTAAAATGTAATCAAAACGATATATATATTTTAAGAGAAAAATCAATATTAAGAGGGCAGTATAGAGAGGTATAAAAAGATGATTAATTAGCTATAGCATCTTAATCCAATGGAGCTATTATATCATCAGCTAGGATTAATTTGATTGCCTTACCTGATGGTGAAAATAGCCCTCTAAGAAATTCACTTTATTTTGTAGATAAAGAAAAAAATCAAACTGGGGCATTTTTATATTGAGATCATAATTCAATTATAGTTGAATTTTTTTAAACTTATGAAATCAATGAGATAAGATTTTGGTTGTTTGATGGCTATTTTAGAATCACTGATATGCAAGTTTATATTTTAGGAAAAGACAAATAAACTGAATCTCTTATATATAGTGGTGTTGCTTAACAAGGAGTAAATACTCTTAAATTTCTTGATTAACTTGTATCAAAAGTAAAATTCTCCAATGTAAATGGCAATAATGATAAAAATTTATAGCTGTTATTCATTTTGATCGAAATATATTATTTAATCAATTTAACAAGATAATAACCTTATTGATAACGTTTGTTAATGTATTTTCTTAAAAGAAAATTAATAATAATTATAACAAAATATTTTTTCTTAAAAAGTTTATAAATAATGGAGGTAACTAACCTTATGATGCATTTTTTCCTTTATTATATATTCAAGTAAATAGCTCCTGATCTCCAAGAACGGTTACTATGTAAATGTCTGAAAGTTGGCTTTTTGAAATTAATCATAAGCTGGATATTGATAAATGAGGCTAAGAATAGTCTATATATTTTGGCAACAAATTTTTATTTGGAGTTGTGAGCAGCTATCGAGAATTTATTGTAGTTTATATTACTTGGTGAAAATTTCTAATAAAAATTAATAGATAATCTGATTATGGATAAAGTAAATATTAAAAAATTATTATAATACATTTTATAAAATTCTGTAAAATTTGATCAATCTATGATAAGATTGTTAAAAGTTCTGATTACATTTTCTATTTAAGCATGTAATTTTCTCTGATTTTGCTGTTTCATCATTGCAAGTACCTTTGCATTTAATCAATTTTATTACATTATTGCATATAAGCCTTTTTATATGTTATTATTCAAAATTTGTGGAATCTATCAGCCATAAATTGATAAGAGGCAATTTTATTTTTTTTTTAAATCTCAATCCGACCCTTATACCTATTGTTTTGTCATCCTTCCTTTTTTAAATATCCCCAATATATTCCTTAAAAACACAATAAAATTATTAAAAATCTAAAAAGATCTAACTAGTAAAATCAAAAAAAAATTTAATCTTTGATAGATAATATGTTTTAAAAGTTTAAGAAATCTCTGTCAGATAATTTACCATTTAAGTTAAAATCAGACCTAAAACAATTAATTTAATTTTTTCATTTTTAGATGACTCTTAATTTTTGTTATTTTGATTAGAATAATTATATAAATCAATATATCATTAAACCTTCTCCATCTTAATCCCAATTAATTTTATCTTATCACCAATCTCTTTTATTTCTAATCAATATCCTCTTAGTAAAATAAAGGAAATGAGAAAAACTATGACCAAAAAATACACATTATTTCCCACAAATCCCTGTAATTCAAATAATAAATTTCTTGATTTTGGTAATTAAAATCTCAGCAGTTTCAACTATTTTTACAATAATATTACCAATACTTACATTTAATTGCCCAAACCTTTAAATTTTCACTCTTTCTTCCTTTATAATAGCTTAATATATTTTTCCATCTTTATTTAATATCCATTAAATTTCCTTAAACAAAACAAACTGTGCTATTTAAATACCAAATGCAATTAGGTATCCACTCAAGTTACAGTCAAAACATCCATCATTTTTAATCTAATTTCCATCATCACATTATTAAATTGAGTGCAATGCAATTAATCCATCTTCACAAAAAGATTATCATGCATTTTCTATAAGTTCCAGTCCAATTTGACAGAGCTAACATTTCTAATATTTGCAAACTTAATATATTAATTTACAGCATATTTCCAATAGTTACATTCTACTATTTTCACATCTAGGCATAAAATTCAAATCTATATGCCCAAAGTGAACAAATACTAAATTAAAAACTTTCACAAAAATCTATACATGAATATTTGCATTAGTAACAAGAATCATTAGATATTAGATTGTTATCATCACATTCTTCTCAACCTTGAATAATTCCATCACCACAAATTGGATGGCAATTTTCCAGAAATTCATCTAAAGTCCAATCTTCTTGACAAATAAACTTTTATCATTTATTTACTCTTAAGAGCAATTAATCCTTTGATCAAAGAACCAGTATCTCTTTGTTTATATCAAGGATTTTTTCATGACAATGAAGAAAATAGCGATTAGATGTAATTGTCTCTTCTAAAATTTAATGAAATAATAGCCAAAATGAAAGAAAATTATGCTCTTTCGCTTCTACCCAAAGGTTTTGTTTTAGATTGATATTGAAAGACAGTTTAGCCAAAAAAAAATCTTAAAGAAGTACTTAGAAGAAAGATACCATAATAAGAATTATTAAGTTATGAAGTATGTTTTAGACCTGTTATTAAAAGTTATTAAGAGAATATATGTAAAGAGCCCAGCTTAAATGCATACTTAGATCTCAAGAAACGGATTACACATCTGAAATTTAAACATATTCAGAAATGTGGAAATCAAATGGATTAGATATGGAAAATAAGAAGAAATGAATGAATGTTGATTAATTTAAGAATAGGTAATATTAAACTAAGCAAAATGATTAGATAAAATAGTATCCCATTAACAGTATTGGGAGAATTTAAAGAAGATGGAAGAAGCCATTAATCTACATAACAAAACTTTAGAATCCAGGTTTACATCAAATCATTGGAAAGCAGTTTAAACTATGCTTTCAAAATTTTTGTTAAAAATGTATCTTTAAGAGAATTTATTACTATAAAAGTGGATTCATTTATTCATAATATGAAAGATATTTCAGAAAGACAAGTAAAGAATTTACTTTAGAAAATACATTAGTAAAATTAAAAATGACTTAATATTAAGTTGTTTTTTTAAATTACAAAGATATATTTGAGAGGGATAAGCTGTTGAAAAAACTCAAATATTACAGGATGATCTTATTATAACATCATAAATAATCAGAGATAATTTTAATAAAGTTTATAAGGGAAGATGTTATAATATTGGAAATTTAATAATACTTATATAATAAATATTAAAATTATGGATTACGTTTAAGATAATCATTTTTATTAAAACTAATTTATTTAAATAGATATCAATATAAAAGATACAATTAGAATCCACCCATATTATAAATCAATATATGATGAAAGTGAGAAATTCAAAAGGCTATGTGATAAATAAAATTCAAATAGAAAGTCTGTAGAAATAAAATCATCAGATAAGATTCCTAATTTAATGGTTATATTATAATCTTCATCTGATTAATTTGAAAATAATAAATATGGATTAATCATAGAAATAATGAAAAGGATTAGAAAATAATAAATGATTATAATTATCTTGTTACTTTTTTATCAAATGATGATTTGATTAATATTTTGGTAGAATCCTTAATAGTACAATATCAAATGAAAAAGCATTTTGAGGAAATTGAAGAATTAATTTGTAATTCAAATACTAATATATTAGAATGAATAAAATAGAAAAGGAAGAAGAGTTTTTTTAAAATATAATGAAATCTAAAGAAATTAAGAATTGTGTATTGATAAGAAAATAAACAGATCTTAGTATTTTGTTAGATGCATTCTTCAATACTCTGTATGGACAGTTGGTAGTTCTGCATAAATTTTTGATTAATAAGTGAGAATAAAATGAGATTGCTATAAAAATAGACAAACAATTTCAGATTCCAGAATTATCTAAAATAAATAATTCTGATTGTTAATGATATTAGAAAGAGTTTTGGTTACACAATAGATGTAACAATTGATTTATATGCATAGATAGGATATTAATTAAAGGCAACTTCAAAAAAATAATGGTATATACTAAATGTGAGTGATGTTAAGTCAGGCCTTGATGCTGAATACAAAGAAATTGTAGTGGAAGTAGGGTTAAAGACTATGGCATAATAACATAATAAAAACACTTTTTGATTTATCAAGAATATAATTTTCAAACTGAATGATAAATCATAATTAAATAAGAATTGAGAGAATTACCATTACAAATTATATATTTGATCTGAAATGAAAGATTAAATAGAATATTGTATTATTATGATTTAAATGAGACAATCATGAAAATAAAATTAAAAACAGACTAATTTTTAGAATCATTTAGGAAATAATGAAGATAATAAGTATTTTTTTTTAATTGATGATTTGCATGAATTTATTAAAAATAGGTAGCATTGCAATCTCTTTAATCAATAAGCAAATGCTGTTAGCTATGATTCGTTAATAACAAAAATTAATTGATAAAAGCCATACCCTCAAAACTACTTATTAACTTAAAAAACAAGATATTTGCTGTTAAGTATAGAAAATGTGATGTAGAAATTCACGATTTAAATGTGAATTAATTTCTCAATAAAATTTATTTTATAATTACATGTTTAAACCAAAATGATTTCACTTTGAAATCGTCTTAATAGCAAAAATTTCTGTAATTTGGATAAAACCTTGCTTATATTATATTTTCTTTACAATATTTAATTTAATTTGATATCTTGTAAGCTCTATAGCTTTTATTTTGTATTTTAAAGATTGTAGGTTTTCTTTTAAAGAGGAAAAAATTTTAACTATTTTTATTTTAATGAATTATTTTTATTGTTTTTACTACTATAGCCTGATAAGTCAAATAAATGCCCAAGATATTTTGAAACATATTCTTTTTCTCCACTCATTCAACTTTATAAATTTAGAAATCTTTATATCTTTTTAAAATTTGCAAATTCACAGATAAAATTTAAGATTTATAAGCCCTTTATAAAGTTTAGATGAGACTTGATAAACTTGGATGACAAGAGATTTTTGCCCCAATTTTAACTAATATTGCATCTCTGTTACCGATGAATTTTGTAACTGGGAAATGCATGCATCAATACCGAACTGAACATATGTTGACCTTCTATTCCACTAATGCATTAATTTCTTTATTTCAATATCAATTAGTTCTTATATATTAATGACATTTTCAAAAATAGTCATCATAAGAAAAAAAAAACCGTAAAGTTCTCATTGTAGCTTTATAATTTTACCTATTAATATTATAAGATATTACAAGGAGTATGGCAGTTGTAATAATAGAATTAAAATCAACTTGTGAGATTATTATTATAAAATTATTCCATGCCTTTATTAAGGATTGATATTTGTGAATAATTATTGCAACAATAATGCTGAAATTTCTAATGTATTG